AATATATATATATATATATACTAATAAGAATAATAATAATATATATATATATATATATATATATATATATATATATATATATGTCGTAGAGGAAAAAGATAGGCATGTAAAAAAGTAACGGAGCCGTAAAGTGCTCGGAAACAAAAGATACGAATATAATACATACGTAAATATTTCATACATACATATATGTATATGTATGTATTTGTATTTAAGAAAACACTGAAAGCAGCTTAGTGTTTTATCGTATATATACATATATATGTTATATATAAATATATATATATATATACATATATATATATATGTATACATATATGTATAAGTAGATAGATATTAAATAGATAGATAGATAGATAGAGAGATAGATAGATAGACAGATAGATAGATAGATAGATAGATAGATAGATAGATAGATAGATAGATAGATAGATAGATAGAAGATAGATAGATAGAAAGATAGATAGATAGATAGATAGATAGATAGATAGATAGATAGATAGATAGAAAGATAGATAGATAGATAGATAGATAGATAGATAGATAAATAGATAGATAGATAGATAGAAATATAGAAAATTATTTTGCATATGGCAATACACGTGTTCCTAAAAAGATTTGCAGATACAAAATATGTAGCTTTCACACATTGCGCGAACACATTAATCTCGTTATCGGACTTTATATTGCGATAAATTAGTACGAGTTCCTATAATCTTGTGTGTATTATTGAAATGCTATTTTAAAATAATTCCCTGAAGAATAAATGCACCTGATGACTTACTAAAATGCCTTATAGAAATAGTTGATATGTTGCTTTACCCTGTATTGCAATTTCTCAATAAATTTGCAAGATAGGTATGTCCCTAAAAATAGTAATAAGTTCTGATCAATGACGATTGGGCTTTGCAAGATCAATCAATCATAAACTTGTGTGACCCTTCTGCCTGTCGTCTGGCACATCTAGTTTCGTGTCTTGTGTTGCTTGCTGTTTGTATGTTTTTTCTTTCTTTTTTTTTTCTATTCACACTGACGTCCAATTGTTTTCCAGATTTTCTTTCCTTCTTCTTTTCTTCCATTTTAAAAGCAATATTATAATATTCGCCATCGTTCAGATATTCAAGCAGATTAATTCACATTGGTTGAATATATGGCGCCAGTGTGAATTTATTGCAACTCCTCGAGCCAGTGCTTTTTATCTTCGTAGAAATCGTTCTCAGTTTCGATCCTGTTTATCACTGCGTTCTAGTTTCTGCTGGTCGCTTATTCTGTCATTTCAAATTTAGCTTCTTTTCTCTCTTCAGAAAGTTGAAAAATATTGAAAAATATATAAAAATTTCAGTTACTTCGTGTACTTGGCTTGAGGAGCTATTTATATCATAATTCGCGACATCGTATCGACATGAATAACATAGTGATAAAAAAGATAATCAATTAGAAACTTTTACCTTTGCCTCGTCGATGACCAGTAGGAGGTGGTTCTCGAGGCGGAGGAGGTGGTCCTCTTACTCCTGGCCCTTGACTTTGTCCCGGCGGTCTCCTATTTCCTGGAGGAAGTTGCCCTTGTGGCGGTTGATCAGGAGCTTCGGTAAGGAAATTGCTTGGAACTAAACCACGTACTCCATTTAATTCACCCATATAGAATCCATCATCGTCTAGATCACCATAGACATAAATTTCATTCCCAGTTTGGAATGCCAATTCCACTTGCTACAGAATTAAAATATATTAAAATGTGTAAATAAATTGAACTTTTTAACTATTATAAAAAAAATATCTATTTGTTAAAAAAAACTTACGGAATCGACATTAGGAGATAATTCATGAGGATCATAGTCATAGAGTGCTATCATTTTCTTCACAGGCATACTAGCATAAATATCTCCCCATCTTCCTCTCCTTCCTAGCTGCCCTTGTCCAGGCTGATTTTGATCTTTAATCTCTTCAACCATATTGTAAGGAACATACCCTCGTCTACCGTGACATTCTCCCCAATAAAATCCATCCGCGTCTTTTTCACCGTACACCTATCAAATTAATTTACGTACGTAATAAAGTTAATATTTCATAAAACGCATAACGGAAAATTGCAATAACTTTTTGTAAAGACCTTAATAGTGTCACCCTCGGAGAAGGGCAATTCTTCTTCACAAGCGTCCGGATTAGGTGACATTCTTTTCGGATCATAATCAAATAGGGCAATAAACCAACGTGTTCTTTTGTTCATTTGTTGAGCGCTACTTGACGAATGACCCGCACCACCTTGAGCTTGCATTCCTCGTCCTCCACGGTAGCTAGAAGCTCTACCTCTTTGACTTCCTATCGTAATAAAATATGCAAAATAAGTAGAACATAAATAAATTATGACAAGCAAATATTTGAGATATTTTTATACGAACCTGGTTGATCGTAATAAGGATCTTGAGGCCTACCAGCAGGACCACCCATTCGTCCTGGTCGATGCGTTCCAGGAAGCCCTTGTTGCCCTATTTGAGGTCCATATCGATGTTGGTTATGATGAAGCGGCATACCTCTACCTCTACGTGACGGATCATCTTCCTCGCTGTAATTCGCTTCGCTTGCCGAATCTTTGGTGATTTCTGGAACTCCTAGATAATAATAGTGTGCAAAATTTTAAATACTTTCAATAGAGTAACTTGAGAATAATCTAAATATAAAAAATCAAATTTTATAATAAGAATCCTTACCCATCTGGGACATGCTCTGTCCAGGATAAATTTCTTTATCAGATAAGTTTTCATCAGTCTCAATAATAACTTGGCCATGAGCGTCAACCCTAGTGCCTCCGTGCCTTCTTATATGAGAAGGTACAGGAGTCGATGGATATCTTTGACCTACACCTCCTAAACGATGTCTACTCGGATCATCTGGTTGTCCGGTAACGGTGGGTTGAGGTTGTCCTTGATCTTGCATGTGCGTAGACCCATGTTGCAAATGAGTCGCGGTTCCACCACGAAGAACGCTGCAAGGAATAGCGGTAGCACAACTATCGCCCGATTGACTTTCCCTGCTTTTTGTTCTGACCGTGATGTGTTTCGGATTCAGACCCATAAGTTTGTGTATATCCACCAAAGCATGGTCACCGGTGGGGCTGTCTACGTCGGTGACCTTTTTTCCATCGGCATACACCGCGTAACCGGTGACGGCCGAACCGTTTAGGGCAACAGGCTGCCAGGTCACTAGCAAAGTGCCGTCCTGCGGTCCAGCCTCCACCTATGGCAAATATAATGTATAATTATTCATCGAATGTGATATCGATTGTAATATAGAAAAAAAATATCGAAACAATTGTTAACCTGGATATCGACCGGAGGATCAGGTAATCCTTTGGGTAATGTTTTGAAATGGACATGACAGGCTAAATTGTTTGCCGCTTGAGTATTTTGGTCCTCGAAATGCGTCGCCCTCAAATTCTTTGCTTTCACGGTTACCCTATAGATTGTCGAGGGTGCTAAACCGGTAATCGTGTGTCTATAAACACCAGGCTTCACCGTCCTAACCTCGACGTTATTCACACAAACCACATGTTGATGATTGCTATTGCTCGGCATCCAAGAAATGACTGCACTAGTGGCGGTTACATTCGATGCCTTGACAGCAGTTGGGCCCAAAGCGACATCTTTACCGATTACCATCGTACAAGCAGCATCACGTGACGTTCTTCTTGAATGTGTCACTGAACGTACGCTTATTCTGTGTGGCTATATTATTAATTAAATGAAATCAAATAACCTGACAAACTTTTACGTTTAATTATGTACATCGTTATATAAATCTCGCAATTTCTTCTTTCGTGAAACTGATACGACTACAAACTGACATAAAACATTCTCCGTTCTAAGATATAAAGAATTATATATCTCTATCTATCATAATCAGCTAGTGTCACAAACAAATATATCACTTTAAAGAATGACAATTTATTTTTTTTACGAACCCTAGTAGAATCAACTCCTTCGACCAATGCTCTGGTTCTCTCCGTTGCTTTGACAGTAACCTTCAACACTCCATCCACGTAGACGTGATACGACTCCAATTGATGAGTATTTTCTGGCGCCGTCCAACCGATTAAAACGCTCTTGTTCAACTGCCGCTCGAGAGTGAGGTGCTGTGGCGCCGGAACTAGGTCCGAAAACAGGTAGACTTCTTCAGGAAAAAAAGACAAGACAAGCCTAGCTGTAGCTAAAAATCTTTCACTATCTAATTCTCTAAGTCCATCCAGCCTAAGTCCATCCAATACTCAACACAGTGCAAGATTCCGTTTACGTCTTTCATCAAGAAATTAGAATATTTACCTTAACCTCTCAAAACAGAGAGAAGAGACCATTCTTTTAATCTCTACAAAAATAACAACAACATGCATATGTTCTACTTTCAAACGGCATTGTTGAACAGCAAAGATTAATTAATAATAAAAATTATAATTAACAACGTAATAAAAAATTATGTATTCTACAGACAATTAATTAAATTTTTCTTATCTCGAGGAGCATAGAAACATAGAATAGATATTGCGTATATATGTGTATATAATATACAATACATATACCTTGTTGAATCACGTAAGAAGGGGTTATTGAGAAGAAGCATTCTATGTACTTGGAAGAGCTGCACGAAGATATGTTGAAACAAAAAAACTTAATACTACAATGTCATCATAAAATAGAAAATATTGATATCAACATATTAATTTTCACATTACACAAATCGCTAATTATTAAAGGGTAATAAAATATTTCGTTATATAAATACTTATCAAGCATGGAGTTTTTACAAATTCGTTAACATTTAAATTAACTTAAAAGTAACTTTAAATTATATTTAACAATTCGAATTCGTGAAGCAAACATTAAATAAATATTCTACCATCTAAATACGATGCGATTATATATATATATGTGTATATATATATATTCATTAAAAAGAATCACATATCATAATTTTCACGCTGTTTACAATTATAAAAACATACTACATCTACTTTATCACGATCTACATGCTTGAAAATGAAAAATCAAACATATAAAACGAAAACGTACTAACCTGGTGGCTCTTGCTCGTCTTCTTCCGCAATATTATCGAGTTCCGCGTATGCAGATAATTCGGCTTGTCGATTTCGATTACCCTCTTCTAAAGCCGCTAACTCTAAATCGATATCTTGTAGATAACACTAAAAGAAGAAAAAAAAAAAAAAAAGGAAAAAAAAATCATAATTAGCCATGTCTCGTACGAGAAGCACAATAAAATTTATTCTAATAATCTTACATTGCTCACTTGGGGAATGTTAGTTGAAGCTGAATCATCAACGTCTCTGAGGCCAAGAACAGCTTGATGGAATTCTAACAAATCGTCACCGATCAATTTTTGAACAAAATTAGCTGGAACAAGACCACGTCTACCGTCAAGAGTTTCCGCATCGAGGAAACCATCTTCGTCAGGTTGCCCCCACACAAGTAAATAATCACCACCCTGAACGGGCAACTCTGCTTCAGGATTCTCGTTCGGCGAATGCTGAAACGGCTCGTAAGTGAAACGAGCGATATAGACGTAACACCGTCCTTTGCCGGGTATATCCAGCATATCCACCTGACCCTCGGGCACGATATTGTCATTGGTCAGTCGATCTAAAGGATTAGAAAGTATACTACTAGGTATCTTTGGCATCTGCCTTGAACCAAGGAAGTGATGGCCCGTCGTAGAGGGCGCTGTCGGCGAACTGGCACGTAAACTTTGTTGGATCTGTTGAATAATGGCTTGCTGCTGAAGTTGATTGGCTTGAGACTGCGCAGAAAGTTGTTGCATCGCTTGAAGGGGATCACTTATCGCTTGTAACAAGCCTGTCGATGTGGTTCCTATGATAAAGGTGAGAAAGAAAAAGCGTAAAATATAGGTTTTAGAAAAAAGAAAAATAACAAAGAAATATATATATGTGTGTGTGTGAAAAGAAAATTGTTTCCTGGTAGGAGAAAAATTGATACCTGAAGACACGCCCGATGTGCCAAAAGCATTGGTCCCGACGGTGGAGTAGGTCGATCCGCTGGTAGCGAAACTGCTCTGTACACTCGAGAAGGGAAGAGCGGATTGTGGTACGTTGGTAAGCGCGCCCAAAGTGGAATGAAAGGTGGTTGTCGAATAAGGTGGTAACGAGGACAACGTGGTTTGCGGAATACTTGTCTGCGGAACGGAAAAGTTGTGATGCGACAGTTGAGTGCTAAAGCTACCCGCTCCTGTACTATACGTTCCATTCGGATGCGATGTAATGGATAAACTTGGATACGTCGTTGCCTATATATATATATACACACACATACAGAGACCGATATTAATTCAATGAATGAAAAATACAAAAGATTGTACGAAGATTCGTAACAAAAGATTCTGAAATCTAAAACAGAATCGAATAACCCGTTTCATTACCTGTTGACTTCCATTCAATTGAAAAGTTTGGGCGGTTTGCGTGGGCTGCGAATAATGAGGTATTATGCTTTGGCTGGATGATGTCAGGTACGTGGTAGAGGCCGGATGTTGCGGCTGTTGCTGTTGTTGCTGTTGGAGCGGCTGCTGATAGGTTTGCGTATGCGGATAACTCTCTTGATACTGATTGCTCGTATAATGGGTGTGCGTTTGTTGTTGCTTCTGTTGTTGCGTTTGCAGAACACTTTGGGAATGCGTGCTCTGCAACTCGGTATGGCTTAGCTGAGCTTGTTGATACTGTTGCAGCTTTTGTTGGAAAACAGGTTGCGATTGGCTGGTGGAGAGCGATGGCGCTGGGGGAATTGGTTCGCTGTAATACGGCGGTCCGTTTGGCGTCAATGGTGGACAACCAGGCATCATTGGCGTTAAGGGCATAGGTGAACCTGCATACTGTTTCAAAGATCGCGATCGTAACGCTTTCATAAAAATAAAACGATAGATAGAGATCAGAAGAGAGAAAAAAAGATATATATATATAATAAAAAACGAATAATCATTTATTCATACATGACTCATCTGCGTTGGCATTCCTAGACTCAGAGCATGCGGATGAGGTGGATGTTGATGTTGACCGAGGTTAGGAAGATTTTCGGAGCTAGATCGCAAAATACCCTGTGTGACCGAGGGTTGTTGCGTGGTAATGGTTCCTCTGGTATGATCCAAATCGTGTATCATTCTGTTTGCGCTGTTGAATTAAAAATTAAAAAATTTATTCGAAAGTGGAATAATATTACGGGGAAGGTAAGAATGTATATATATATATATATATTTCGAAAATAGAGAATATATCGGTATTAGGAAACGTACCTGTTATCTTGTTCTATCTTTGCTATTATTCTATCGATTTCAGAACCGGCTGGAGGCCAAGTAGTTGGAACGGAATGGCCCACCATAGGCCCTCTGCTTCTCGCGCGTCTCAGACTCGTCAATTCCAATGACAATTCTTCGTGTCTGACCATCTGCAACTCTGTCTTCTTTTCAAGCTCCCTTATTTTTGACTGCAGCGCTTCAACCGATTCCGGTCCTTGATACCGCCCCGCTATCTTTTCGCGTAATTGATTCTGTGCCTCCGCATGTTGGCGCTCCAAGTCCGCCTTTCGAGCTTCTGTTTCACGCATTTGCTGAAAAGATCATTTATACTTTACTTTTAATTTTTTTCATTTTCTAAAATTAATTATCCTCTTTTGTAAGAAAGAAAATAATCATGAACCTCGAAATATAACGAAATAATGGATACGATATCGTACGTTAAAAATGATTGGTTATGAGGGGAATTATCAAGATGTTCATCAGCGCACGTATAGAAAAAAAGGGACACAGGTATCGATAAATCCGTTTGTGATATCATTTTTCTCGCGATATGGAAAAATGTGAGTTACGTTTAATATTTGTGGCTGAAGATAGGGAACCACGTTTAATAACCGGAAGGGACGCCTGGGTTGGGAATATGATCCACGACGAGAATCACCCGCTCGATATTAATAATGAGAGAGAAGCCTTTGTATTCTGGATGCCTCGAAGGAAGGTAGAGCCGAACTTACTCGACGCAAACTTGTTTGTTCCCGAAAATGTTAAAAAACTGATCTGCGAACCGCAAAAGGAGAGTCGCAATATCGGTGAAACGCTCTTGCAGGTTATCTTTTTAATTAAAACGAATTTTTCCGCTCCGCCCCGCTTCAAAATTCGCTTAGAACATCAATATTTAATGGCTGACGAACGCCTCGTTGAACGCCGCTTTTTTCGATCCTCGAAAGTCTTTATCTTTAATCCACGTTACAACACACATGATCATTACGTGCCCATTGCATATTTCCATACGTAATATTTGCCGCACAACAGAAATGAAAATTTTTGCTCTCGAAGTCGAAAAAAAGAAAAAAAAAGTCGAGTTTTAAATTTTCCTCGATTGATTTCCAATCGATCGTTGTATTAACGAAATAAAAACTTCAACTGAAAAAAAAAAAAGAAAAAAAAGAAAATAAAATTAACAATAACAATATCACTCGCTAAGTGAGAGTAGAGAAGGGAAAAAAGAGGTAGAAAGAAATATATATGATGGAATATAAATATTAGGAAAATTTGTTAAATCGAGGAGAAGAATCTCACCTCGAGGATAGATTCAAGAACTGCGTCCTGCATGATGGTGGTTTTCGTGGAGGTGGTAATCCCGACAGCAGATCCGGTATCCTGCAGCTGCGGAGCCTGAGGTGCCGTGGAAGCGCCACCTCCAACACCACAGCACTGCAACATCCCTGAAGTCTGAAACCCTCGCCCGTCTTTATCACGGCCAGTCCCTATCGATCTACCGTGTATCTAGGAGCTATCTTAATTAATTGGCGGCTTTTGCGGGGCCTACCAGGCTGCACACGACGATCCCACGATTAGGTAGTATTCGATTCTCTGGATGCGAAAAGGAATTCTTTTTTCATTGCGATACCCCACGATACCCTTAACCCCCTTAAAGGTGGATGAATCGGCTGAAAAACAGCCGGTTACTTCTTCGTAACAACCGTGAAAAAAGATAATGCTTTTCGCATTCAACCCTCTGTATACCGGAACAACAACGGCCCTCTACAATCCTATATAGGATATATCTCTTCTCTGAATGTTGAACAATTCATTAAATCGATAATATATGTATTATTATTGGTATTTGATATATAGAGGATTAAACGGAAACAAGAATCAGCATGCCACCATTCGCCGCGCTCTATAAAAAAAAAAGAAGTCACGTTGGTAACGTTGCAACCGATCTCACCGATCGAACGACACGTGCGCGCTCCCTATTATAATTATCGTGATTGCACGTTTCACTGCTTTAAAGAAAAAAAAAAAAAAACGAATCGACGCATATAAACCGGGACCGCGCGAGACTCGATAACGAATTACACGATAACCCTGCCTCCAAATGGGAGAAATTCAATCAACGAGATTACTGGCAACAGGTTATTCGGAATGTTTCAGATCAAAATATATCCTACACGATCAAATATCCGGCCTTTGTTATTACGTTCCAACGTAATAAGTTGAAGAGAGTTACAACAAGTTGTACGTATTGAATCTAAGTTTGTATGAATTCTTGTAAAAAATTCTCGAAGGAAAAGATCTTTTTTGAGGTGAATATCATTGAATGGATGAGTTACTTCTAATTTTTAATGGATTTAAAGATTAAAAGAAATAAAATATTCGTTGTTGTCCCATTCTCAGTTTTGATAAAAACTTGATTATTTAATTTGAAGTGGTATCGAACAATCAATAATTGTTAAACGATTAGATCAAATTGATTTTTTCTTGTATCAATTTTGAAAAATATGTTAAAGCGAATATGTTAAATTTTATTGATATAAAATAACAAAAGTTGAATTACAATTAGAAAAGAAACGCGAATGATGAGTAAATTTTAAATATATGGGTACAAATAAAAAAAATTATTATTTATGATTTATTTTGTCTTGGAAGGTGGAAAATATGAAAATAAAATATTCATAGAGAAAATTCAAAAGAATTTGTTAGAATCAATTCTAATAAAAATATCCATGTGCTCTATTTGAGATAATAAATATATGTTGCAAAAAAAAAGAAGTGTTTCTATTCTTCGAGCAATCTAAAAATAAATATGCAAATATGTATCATATTTCAAAACAGTTGTTTTCGATGGCGGAAGTTAAGAAATTTATTTAATTTCAATATGATGACAACAACTCAATTTTACCGGTTCTACGTTCGAATAATCCAATCACAGTAGTCAGAAGGGACATGTTAATCCAGAAAAAGTCGAACGCAAATATTAAAACTGTAGGATATAGCAACCGATATCTACTTATAATATGCATAAGTATTATTCAATAAAATCTCCTTTCTTCTCTATTTTATGTCTTTTCATTCCATCTACATATATATTATTTAATGTAATTAATTATCTTTAGAAATTCGAAGAATTTATTATGCTATACCAATTTAATGAAATGATATACGCATGATAAGCATAAATAAGATTTGAAAAATATTTATTAATTTTCACGTACGAAAAAATCATCATTTTAGGAATGAATATATATTTTACCCGAGAAGAAATATGTTTCAACTTGCTCATGATACGCAAGTCCGATAGAAACGATAAAGCTAAAGCGCAGAAGTTAGCAGCAAAAAGGGAATAAAACTTGATTCATTGGATAAAAATGCAACGCAATGAAAAATATAAGAGTTACCGATTAATTTGAAAATCGAATTAGAGAAAATAGAGAAACAGGATAGAAAATATATCGAAAGAGCGGACCAATGACTTGGCCTTTCAAAGGAAAGACACTCGTTTTAAGCTGCTTGAGACATGATAAAAATTTCAAAAGCAAAACAAATGAAAGTGACCTCTCGACATTCGGTCGTCGCTGGAAAAGGAAGAGTTGGGGGGCGGTAGTTAAACAGAAGGAAGGAGAGATTCAGAATGAGTTTCTGTCTATGAGTACGGGTCGAGTGGCACGGCACTGCTTATTGATCTCACTACCAATGGTACGTAGTATACATATACACCCGGTGCGCACGGGACATCACTGCACGACAATACGTAATATATCCACTATCACTATGAACTGCCTATTGCTATCACCACGAGTAACAGCTATATACGTCGACACAGCTAACAGAATATGTTTTTTTACGATATGTCATTATACCAATGACAACCGGTCACCACCGTTGTCTGTTTCCTCACTGACACTTCGTTCTTACGTTATTTTCCTCACCAGGCCACGTTTTTAATGTTCCTCCATCTCCTTACTTATTTTATATTATAAAATACGAAACACATATATACATTTATTTTTCTAAGTAAGTTGCAACGGTACCGTGTGAATATTCTATTTTTTTTTTTTTTTTTCGAATTCGTATAAAATTCGAATGCGAAATCTTTTCTTTTTAATCACATTTAAAAATCTCATGAAAATCTCTTTTTTTTTCTTCACTCTTATTTATATTTGCACTTAAGCACTTATATATCGTCGTAATGAATTTCTCTGATTTTTCTTTAAGCAAAAACGCGCAAGTACTCTTCCATTCTCTTCCACTCTCTCTCTCTCTCTCTCTCTCTCTTCTCTCTTCTTCTCTT